TCTCTCTCTCTCTCTCTCTCTCTCTCTCTCTCTCTCTCTCTCTCTCTCTCTCTCTCTCTTTTGGTTAGAGCATGCGCTCAATTCATTTAACGCTTCGCTAGGCCACCAGTACAAGCACCTTGCACCAAAACTTCCATCTCTCTCTCTTGGCTAGAGCATGCGTTCAATTCATTTAACGCTTCGCTAGGCCACCAGTAAAGCACCTTCCACCGAAACTTCCACGGCGAGGGACAAGTTCAGTTCCTTCTGCGCAGAAAAATAGGCTCTGCAATTTCGGGTCCTCTGCCGAACTGAAGATTTAAAATGAATCAAACACATACTTCCAATGTCCCGTGCACTTCTCCCCCAAAGACCCCAAGAAAAATGCCTCTCCCCCAAAGACCCCAAGAAAAATGTCTCCCCCCCAAAGACCCCAAGAAAAATGTCTGGTCCGGTTACACCTCTCCAAGACTGGCAGCCTCACGACCAGTCTATGTCACTATCAGACTATGGTAGTACGGTAGTGGTATGCTTTCATGACCGCCAACCTGGACAGGCAAGACCATTTATGCACGCCATTTTTTTTTTTTAAGGCAGAAAAAAGTTAAAAAAACAGAAACAAAGAGAAACAAAGAGAAACAAAGACAAACCCATAATAGGAAGCCTAATCAGATTTATCACGCCTTTTTGTTCTTCTTCTTTTTGCGAGAGTTGTCTCACATTGACAAGTAAATCACAGGCCCGGAAAAGTGTCTTTCCCGGCCAATAAACCTTTTACACACAAAGAGATCCTGAAAAGAGCTTCCGTTCCCAAAACCAACTCTACTCCCTATATCAATAGGATGTGCCCAGCTAGGGTACCAAGTGACCCTGGACCACTTGCCCGGCTGGGCCCTCCCCCCCCCACCCACAAAAAAAAAGCATAATTATTCAATTTTTATTTAAAATTTGGTTCGGAATTTCGATGCGACTCCGAGGCAAAAGTGGTTCAGTTTACTTCTCTGCATAGCATAGTTTGTTTCCCAGATTTTTTGAGTTGTTTGATTTTTTTTTATTTTTTTTTGCTCAAGCACGCCCAGGCCGCCCGGACAAACAAGGTGACCAATTCCAATGACAAAGGGCATCGTTGCGCCACTCACAAATGTGCAAAATGGGAATACGAGTCCTCCGCTAAAACATGGAAACGTACACCCACCTTGGTGAGTGGTGCAGCAAGGCCCAATGCTAGATCCACCCATCCCGAATACGAACCCAGAGTGCATCTCCCACCAGAAGGAGAAGACAGCACACGACAAATCGATTCAATGGTTCATCAACTCACCCGCTGCCAGGTCTACAAAAGTCAGCAAATTCCAGCGTGAGCCTCAAAAAAAAAAAAAAAAAAAAAAAAAAAAACGGGGGTTCGGGCTGAGGAAAGTAGCCGGCGAAATCAATTCAGGACTGATATAGCTGTCCAGACCCTCAAAAGTCAGCAAAACGGGGGTTCGGGCTGGGGAAAGTAGCCGGCGAACTTGAATAGAAAGATTCCATACACACAGCATAAAAGAAACCAATTCAGGACTGCTATCGCTGTCCAGACCCTTAAAAGCATTTGCAGCTTCGTCATTCATTCACCACAGACACACCCATGCGCTTCATACACAATGGCTACTGCTGCTGCTGCAAGGACAAACGACACCTTTCACCACTGCAAAGGTGCATGGGTTTGTTCGCAGGTGATACCCGACAGTCGGAATTCAGCGTTTCATTTTCCATGCAAAGGCTCACGGAAAGGTGCAAGAGTTCGCAGGTGATACTCGATAATCGAAAGAAATTTCTGCCCTTCGTTTTGCATGCAATGGGTCAGGGAAGGGCGGTGCTCACCTTGCGCCGCCGCCCTGCATGCAGCGCAGCAGGAGCCCTTGCAACATCAGACACAGGACGCGACACGACTCGACAGGACGTCGCTTTGCCGGACCATGGAGCAAATCATGCAAGGCCACACAGGACTCGACAGTCACTTTGCTGGACCGAGGAGCAAATCACGCAAGCCCACACAGGACTCGACAGGCCGTCACTCCGTCCTGCATGCAGCGCAGCAGGAGCCCTTGCAACATCAGACACACAGGACGCGACAGGACTCGACAGGCCTCGACAGGATGTCACTTTGCCGAACAATGGAGCAAATCATGCAAGGCCACGCAGGACTCAACAGGACGTCACTTTGCTGGACCGTGGAGCAAATCACGCAAGCCCACACAGGACTCGACAGGACATCACTATGCCGGACCATGGAGCAAATCATGCAAGGCCATGCAGGCCTCGACAGGACGTCACTTTGCAGAACCATGGAGCAAATCATGCAAGGCCACGCAGGACGTCACTTTGCCGGCCCGTGGAGCAACTCATGCAAGGCCACGCAGGACTCGACAAGATGTCACTTTGCCGGACCATGGAGCTAATCATGCAAGGCCAAGGACACCTCTCTGCAACATGCCAGGTTATGCGTAGGGTGTGCTGAGCTGTCACATAACCTGTACAGATTGATAACGACAGGGACCCAAAGCAGTCGATGAAATATAAAGCAGTAGACGGACGGAAATTGCAATTCAACAAGACCATTGTAGAAAGTTTGACGTTGGCCGCAAAAGCTTTCTTTACCTCATGATGATCAGATCTGAAGGAACATCGGAACATCCAGCAACAAAAAAGACAAGAAGAAAATATAAAGAAGAAGGAAGAGGCCCTCCAACCAAAGTCCAAGGACTGGTGTTGGCTGAAATAGGCAGAAAATTTGAGAAAACAGCATATTACTGCGGTGTGCCATCGGGATGAGAATTGCTATCGCCCCCCCCCCTCGACAACCTACATGACAAAAAGTAGCGACTTCAATACCACAGTGAATATACAAGAGCTAGAAAGCAGCCAACTTCGTCGGGGAAAGCGCACCTGTTTTTCAAAATCACACCTCCGCTAAGTGTTGAACTTCACAGCTAAGTGTTCAACTTTAGCTATTTAGCTAACTTAAGCTAAGTGTTGAACTTTAGCTAACTTAAGCTAAGTGTTGAACTTCAGCTAAGTGTTGAACTTTAGCTAAGTGTTGAACTTTAGCTAAGTGTTGAACTTTAGCTAAGTGTTGAACTTCAGCTACTTTAGCCAAGTGTTGAACTTTAGCTAAGTGTTGAACTTTAGCTAAGATTCGAACTTTAGTTATGGGTCGAACTTTTTGCGAAAGCGACATGGACCCAAAGCGGCCATGCTTCTCCTGTTGTTGCCAAGTGGCCTAACAGCAAATAACGGTGACAAATTAAGCATATCACCCGTAGGCCCAGGGCCCAAGTCCCCATTGCAATGTCTGTCGTTCTTCCACCGTGCTTCAGCGCACCTTTCCCAGCACGACAACAAGCGCACGTTATTTCCCATGTAAGCGCTAGTCCATACTGCAATCTCCGTCGCTCTCACCGTGCACCAGCACCTTTCTCAGTGCCACAGCACACACACCTTATTTCTCCAACCCCCCCCCCCACCGCAAGCAGCTGACCCAGTTCCTAAGCCTCTCCTGCCTCACTTCTCCTCCCGTCCCTTCTTTGTCCCACTTAGGCAAATTTCATACCATCAAGTCAGGCGCACCTTTCTTCATCCATACGCCGAAACCTGTACTGCAATCTCTGTCAATCTCCCTGTGTGTCAGCACCTTTATCAGCACCATGGCAAGGGCACCCCTTGTTTCCTTCCACCGACGCAAGCAGCTGACCCAGAGTTCTGACGGCTCCCTCCTGCGGCTCCGTCCATACCATCTTTATCCCAGTCTAGGCAACCCCATCCCATCATCAACCCCATCCCATCATGTCAACTCGTATTTTCTTCCAATCCGCCTCTCTTCATGCCACCCCTGCCTGCACTTACAACGAGGTAATCTCCTGGCCAAAGAACCTCTGTTCTCTGTCACACAATTCTCTCTCTGTGGCATCTTTTCCCCGACCCGTGGACTCACACCTCATTTACTTGACTATAGCATCCCACCACTCCCGCCTCTCCATCTCAGTGCCCTGTCTGTACTGAGGACAACTTGATCTCCTCGCCATAGCCTTCCCAATCCAAGCGTCGAACCCTCGAGCCACCCCGTTGCCCTGTCCAACTCCCGCCCTCCCATTTATTGCCACTGTACTCTCCTCTGTCCAATTCTGACAAGTGCCAAGCCGTAGCCTTGACTACCCCAGCCAAGGCCTCGAAGCCAGTTATTGTCACTCTTCTCAGTTCTGTCCCATTATGACAACTTGATCTCCTGGCCAAAGAACCGAAAGAACCCAAACAACCTCCACTCTCCACCGCCGTACCCTTGCCTACCCAAGTGCCGAACCCTTGAACCGCCCCGTTGCCCTGTCCAACTCCCGCCGTCCCATTTATTGCCACTGTACTCTCCTCAGTCCGTGTGCCAAGCCGTAGCCTTGACTACCCCAGTGCCAAGGCCTCGAAGCACCAGTTATTGTCACTCTTCTCAGTTCTGTCCCATTATGACAACTTGATCTCCTGGCCAAAGAACCCAAAGAACCTCCACTCTCCACCACCGTACCCTTGCCTACCCAAGTGCCGAACCCTTGAACCGACCCGTCGCCTGGTCCAACTCCCTCCGTCCCATTTATCGTCACTCCACTGAGGTCAGTCCGCTAGCGATGACAAGATTTCATTCGCACCGTGCTGCAGCAAATTCAATGCACTGTTGCTGATGGGAGCAAGCTCACCTCTTTTCCGCCATTCCTCCAACCACTCACTCTCGTTGCAAATGTTTGTCCCTTGGTCCCGATTCCTACGTGTCAGTCCGTTCGTCCAGATTGCGTCGTAGCAGTTCACCAGATCTGAAGTGGGTGCAGGATGAGGAGAGAACAGGGATGGGGTGAAGCCCACTTCATCCGAGCCAATGATGTCAAAAAAGAGGACAAACAAGCCGAGCAGAAATTCGCCCACATGGTAACCAGCTCAACTGCCTTTATTTCAAAAATAGACACACTCTATCATCACAACATCGCGACCCTCGATGCTCACTTCACATAAGCAAGTGAGATCTTAAGCCCACTCAAAAGCAGGGTACACAACCGTACAATCAATAAAAAGCATTTTGTCATTCAAAATGACATTAAATAGACTATACTCGCAACTACACTCTGCGCAACTAAGCTCACCACCGAGGCGCAGTGCACTGACGACACACTCTCTACTATACACACCTAGACCCTTGCAAAACAACAGACGCATGCCCCTAATAAGGCCCCCGATCGCTGAAGTCCTTCCAACCACCCTTTTCCCTCCTCGCCATGTGACGGAGGTACAACACGAAACGAACCATCTGTGTTTCCCTTTCCCCAACCTCCTCATGTTCTCACCCGCACACCCACCAATACACTCGGGACATGTCAAAGTTGACGCAAATAGTGCACCACAACTCGCAACAAAGGTGCCGACGCTAGCTCCACAGAGATTAAAAAGGCAAAGATATTCCTTTCTAAAGACTGACACATAGGCCAATCTCGGTACACTTCTCTATCTGAGGGGAGGGCTGGAGGGAGTGGGGAGTTGAGGTGGAGACAGAGAAAGAGGAGGGAGGGAGGCAGGGAGAGTCCTCTCAAAGAGGTGCCATACCTCCTCTCCAAAAGGAGGTATGCATCCGTTCCACGAGGATCACTAGATCCTCTCTTGAGAAAAACGTATCCTTCCTCCAACAACAAATGTATACACCCTTGATAATAGGGATTATACATTACATGTCCATTTGGAAGGAGTGCCAAGGCACACATCCTTAAGTTACTAAGCCTCCGCCACATAACAGCACCGAACAGCCACCTCATCATTTTCCACGCTGTCATGAGTGGCTGGCTGCGAGTCGACCCACGGGCTTCACAGCCCTCATGGGCTCTGCCCGTATCACCTCAACTACTAGCACGGACAATGTCTTCTCTATTCACCGGGTTCAAAAAACTGCTGATCAGTCAAGATGCTTGACTGAATGTGGCATCTACATGGGATTGCTTCGGCAAATCGCCGAGTCCAAATCAACAGCAGAGTGAGAGTACACATCTTGAGTGTATTGAGCTAAAGGTCGTGTCACACTGTCGCCACTGCTTTTCATACGCAATCCAACGGGATAGTCAGCCAGACGACCCAGACCTCAAGACTTTGATAGCTGTACAAGTGCAATGACCATCGATCACCTCCTTCTCCACAACAAATCAAAAAGCCTTGTATGCTTTTGGGGACCACACACTGGAAACACGAGAGACGCAATCAAGACGTGAGCTCGCACTCGTAACATCATAAAAGTCAGAAGCATAGGCATCGCACCCCTGATGAAGAAGTTGACGACACATGCAACATGTGCAGCGCAACTAAGCGAACGAGCCGCAACTAAGCGAACGAAAGGAACTTAATATCTCCATCTGTCGGCTTGTCTATCTGTTGATGCGCAACCCGCGCAATCCGTACAGGACAGTTGCATTACCTGGCTTTGAAGACAACATACTTTCAGTACAAATACTTGTCAAGTTGCAGTCCCCACTACTGCACCTCCCTGCCTCATCTCCTTCACTACTGCGCCTCCTGCTCCCGCACCCTCCAGCTTCCGAGCTATCGAACATATTCGCATGTACACCAATATAGCCGAGCTAACACTTGGAACGCACCGCACTATCTTTAATACAGACTTCAGACACCTTTGATACTAGACTTCAGCCTGGAAAACATGGCCTACCAGATTACCAACCACACAACTCAGCTCTCACACAATCACGACCTCTCTACCCTTTCACAGCCATTTAAACTGCTGAAATCACTATGATGCCCCTTTACCCTTACAGGATTTTGACTCCCACTTGCAAGGAGAACAAAGTCGCGATGTGCTCCTTCTCAGAAGCCACCTTTGGACAGACAAACAATTATTATTCATGTCGCAGGAGCAACTAACCTTTTGTTGTATAACTGATAATAGCCGAAAAGCCGAAAAGCAAGGGGAGCATCATCCTTCCTTTCGATACATACATACATAGCTTACCCAGGCCAGCAAGAAACGCTTCGAATCGATACCGTTCGCATCAAATGTCACTCACACAACTGCCAAGTATCTCAACACCAGATCAGCACTCTCATCATACCTGCAGTCACCGCTCGAAGACGGAGATGCAATCAACGACAGAAAAGAAGAACAACAAAAAAAGAACAATAACAACAGAAGCACATTCAAAGACAAACGTTCATTAAAATTGGACCGATACAGAGAAGATTCGCATGGCCCTCGTGCAAGGATGACACGCATAAATTGCAAAAAAAATAATAAAAATAAAGACAGGACCGATACAGAGAAGTTTAGCATGGCCCTTGTGCAAGGATGACACACATACATTGCAAAAAAAAAAAAAAAAAAAAAAAAAAAAAAAAAAAAAAAAAAAAAAAAAAAAAAATCAAAGACAGGAACACAAGACGTCCAATTGTTGCAGACTTCGGCAAATTTTTCCTCGAACAATGGTTTTCGCAAGCATCCCACAAAGCAATCAAAGCAACTTCTGAGATCATCAAAAGAAAGCGATAGATGGGGGCGAATACAACTTCGAGATGCTATTTTTCGACTTGCACAGGTATTCAATCATTTATCGAATTCGCTGCTTAAAGATAAAACTGGCGACGGTGCACGATATCTTTCTGTTCGATAAAGACTTGGTGTATGCCAATTCGTAATACAACCAGCACCCATTTCGCATCCATATTCGTACGACCCTTTTAGCAGACAAAACGGCTGAATACCGCTCAGCAGTTGGCCCCATGTCATTATATGATATCATATACAAAATTTCCAGAGCTCGGGTGAAGGAAACAGGCCCGGGGTGCACTTTGCAATAACTGCCCCTTCGAGGAGCCCCTTCGAGGAGCCAGACAATACCCACATTCACATAGACATCAGGGGATAAATCCGATAAATGCAACATCCAATCCCCCAAAACATATTTTTTCTCTTTTCTTTTTTTTTCTTCGTTTTTTTTTAATTTCTCTCTCTTTCCTTTTTCTTCTTTTCTTTTGCTCTTCTTTTTTTTTTGCGTTCTGCTGAAATTTACAGCTAAAAGTACAGAAAAAGAAGATTGCTAAAGCATGACAGCACCGTGCAGAATGTGCATCATCATCAGCTCTACACAGGAACAACACTTCACATTGGTTGCATTACGGTTTTCGAACGACTCGGCTGAATCCACTACTTTTTTTCTTCTTTTTTTTTACGCCCTTTTTCTTTTTCGTCTTCTTATTTTCTTGCCCGCTGTTTTTCGCCAGGAAACTTCGAAAGTCAAATCGTCTATGCATCATCTTCGCTTCTGTGTTTGCTGCATCCATCATCTTCGGTTCTGTGTTTGCTGCATGCATCAAACTCGAATTGCAAAAAATAAATACATTGAAAAAAGAAAGGAAAAATCAGAAAAAATAAAAAGAAAATTCTGTGAGCTGCCCTGTAGACCGTAGGCAGAGAGGGAGAAGAGGACAACAAATATATTGTCAAGAGCGCACTTTGCGTAACAAACGGCAAAAAAAAAAAAAAAAAAACTCAGTTACAAATATATAGTCAACAAATAAGGGCGGGTTGGGGATGAGGGACAGCATGAGTGGGCAACAGCATGGGAGGAACTCTTTCTAGGTATAACAGATAAATCTGGCAGGACTGCAACAGTAGATCTGAGAGGGAAGAGCGACTCTGGGCAAGCTGACAGCCCATCCACAACCCAACGTGGAGCAATCAATGCTGTTCAGGGGTCTTCCGGCCAGACGGGAGGAAGCGTGAGTTGGTTGCTGTGATGTATCATACTTTGACTTGCCGGTGGAATAGGAACCGGACTGTCGCTCCTTAGAATGGAAGGAGTCAGGACCATAAGGCCCTGTTTGAGAAAAAAATATATATATATAGGCAGAGAGAGAGAAGAGGACAACAAACGAGGGGCTGTGACAAACTGTTTCGTCGGAGTTTCACCGACTCACCAGGAGGCTGAACCCTCAACA